CGCCTTTGTTGGCACCTCGCCTCATGCAGCATAGGACCCTCATCGCCTTGACCTCGCCTTCCGCTTTTAAAGCGCTAACGATAATATAATATTGTAATATCTTATAATATATACATACAAACATATATGAGCAGCATGAAGCTTTTGCGTATAGCTTGTTTAGATGCATTATTGTTGTTGAATCTTCTTTTAAATTGTAATACAAACTGTTGAATCTCTAATTCTAAAAGGAGGTGATTTAATTCCTTTGCAATATCTAAGATCTAATACTTATTTATATTTCTAAGCTCCAGATATATATTTTTAATTTCTAAATTTATAAAATGATGAAACCACCTACCTTATTAAAGTTCAGCACCTTCTCCTATGAAGGCACTATTGCCTTTTTGCAATGTATATAATTAGAAAAATTCTTTAAGGACCCAAAATATGGGACCAATAAAGGGGACAAGTGAGGTGTTCCCCTCCTATTGGATAATGAGTTGGTCATCATTAATGATGGCCAACTCGGTATCCAATAGGAGGGGGACACCTCACTTGTCCCCTTTATTGGTCCCATATTTTGGGTCCCTGTAGCGCTCATATAATTATTTCTTTATATTTATAACTTCTAATATATAAAAAGGTGGTAATAAATGTTCTCATTATAGCCCTAGACCCTCTCCTATAAAGCACCTTTTATTCTTCCAAGAAAAAACAAGTTGTAGCGAGTAGTTTGCTTTAGTGGCTTCTCATTTGGGAATAGTTCCTTTGAGTTACTGGGTGATTTTATTGCTTTGTTCTTATTTTTGCAAGACAGTCAATTCTCCATATTAATACGAGGCTTAGTTTCACTTAATTACCCTATAGTTTTCACTACTTTGCATTTATATATCCTCACTTTTTTTTACATCACTTAGATACCCTAAAGTTTTTAAAACTTGCACTTATATACCCTCACTTGTTTTGGCAGCAGTTACATGACCTAAAATTTTTAAAATTTGCACTTAAATACTATCAGTTATCCAAAATTGAGGGCATTTAAGTGCAAAATTTAAAAACCATAGGGAATTTAATTGTCATTTTCAAAGACTTTAGTTTATTTAAGTGCAAGTTTTAAAAAGTTTAGGGTATATAAATGCTATAAAAAATAAGTGAGTATATAAGTGAAAAATTTAAAAACTTTAGGGTATAAGTGCTACAAAAACAAGTGAGGGTATATAAGTGTAACATAGGGTAAACTATAGGGTATTTAAATGTAATTAAGCCTTAATACAGTTATACATTTTGGTTTTTTTGGTTTCAAAACCTCCTTTTTTTCACCTGGTAACTAAATGAACCCACATTTTGAGGTAAATGGGAATGAAATGGGCTATGAAACCCGCATGTGCCCATTGCATTAGGTGCGTACTTGCACCTGACACTTGTTGGACACAGGCATGGGATCCTAGTACTCGGGTAACCTAACCTGAACCACTTCACTATCTTTACCTGCAGTCATGTATCAATCTCAACACTTCTGTACTTGCATCCCTCAACCTCCACCCAAAGTCTTGTGCTGATCTCAAAACCATTAGTACTTGAACGCATTCACAACCTCTGCCTAAGTTGTGTACTAATTTCTTCTAGTCCCGTTCTCTTTGAGCTCATCCGCTAGATAATCTCTGCTAACATCTTCCGCACCTACTTTCATCTTGTCTGTCACTTATTGCGACTTGCTAACGGTCGTCTCTGCCTTAGGCCTCCTTCACTGCCAGATGTTACTTTGCATGCCTCCAACTGCCTTAGGCTTCCTTCACTGCCAGATGTTACTTTGCATGCCTCCAACGCACTGTCGTTCCTTTGTTGCGACCTCTATCAATGACTATTCCATGTTTATTCATGTCCTTGCGATTGACGTGACTTCATAGCCTGTGGTTGCCTCCGCTGCTTGCACGCCTATGCCCCCACTCGCCAACTATTTCCTGCCAGATGCATCGTCGTTGCACATCCCCATGCACCTGAGCTCTTTTTCCAGCGAGCATCTGCGCAGATCTCCATTACATCATTCACCATATACATTGCCGGCATTGGTCGTTGTCTCCATCAGATCTCTTGTGTGATCACCTATGCAACACTAAGAATTCCACAAACCTTGAACCTTGAACCTTGTTCTTGTCTTGTTCGACATTGCTGGAAACCCTAATTTATCCTCGAACAAATTTTCAGTTGCTTGCCTAAGAGAATCGCGGACCAGGTAAGAATTGGTTGTTATACCATTTATGGTGACTTTCATAGTTTTTATATGGATAACTTTATGATGAAAATCAGGAATAAATAACCATAGAAACTAAGAAGATTATACATGGTTCAGGAATTGGCTACATCCATGGGAGAATGAGAGAATTCTTTATTACTTGAAGAAGAACAATACAATATTTCGTTTCTCTTGTAGTTGTAGTGCCGACGCAAATAGTCCCTTTTGTCTTGTAAATCCTCACAAGAGTACCCTCTCCTTTTTCTTATTCTTTTCCTTCATCTTCTTAACTTTATGATCTCTCATCTTACAATGAACCTCTTAAGGGGTATGTTTTAATCCATTTCTCCTATGTTCAGTTCATATGGATTCCTTTTCATGATGCTTTGTACAAATCCTAATCCCATTGGATTCTCTTCTCATGATGCCTTTGACTAGCATTATTCAGATTCTAGTCCCTTTTAATTAGAATTCAATTCCATTTGTATTTGGACTTTAGGGTCAAAGTCAAACCTTCAATAAAACTCAAAATTAAAAATTTGACGAGAATTGTCTCAATGCAAGCTATACTCAACACTTCCATTGTTTTTAAGTTACTTTTGATTGGAATTCAGTGCACACGTAAACAGTTCACATATTGCGATGCTGCTAGCTTGTCTGAAAAGGTTGATGAGTCCATGGATCTAGTCCATAGCTGGCTATGTTAGATGAGATGATACATAATTTTTTACCAACCAGTGTTGCAATCTGAATGTAACATGTTGAGAATATGATTCCATTTGGCTCTTTTATTTTTCTTGCAGGTTAACACAATTCCCTGTTGCAATTTTGGTTACAATTTCTCAAAAGTACGGTAGCATATTACTTCTTCAATTATTTAGGAGAAGTTAGTGGTTTCTCCTTGGTTAAACTGTGCATGAACAGAAATGATACATCATTATATGTGTTACTGGTCTGATGAAAATTATCACAGAAGCACATACAATTCTAAAACATCATGGGCTAGCATTTCCCTTTTTAACGGCCCTTTTTCATCACAATCACTCTTAGTTCATTGATCTCTTTCGACTAGCAATTTTCCATTAACACTTTCCGAATAACTTGGAAAAATGTTTTGTTGACTTTTATCTAATTGTGACAGTTGAATGGTAAGCACAAAAGACATTCCGTATGTATTTAGATAGTAGTTCATTAGGGATTTAGGAATATAATGATAACCTAAGCTTTAAAAAGTATATACTTAAAAGTCAAAACTTATTCAGCCATAATGGCATATCCAACTTGGTAGTGGCTTTCCTAGTTTCTTTTCCATGTACCTTTTCTTTTATTTTCACTATGAAAATGATACAAAGGGAATAACATATTTAGTATAAAATTTATTATTTAAAGAATAATTGTAGTATGAACTAAGCTATCTATATATAGATTTAATATTCAATTATCAAGTTGATGTATTATAACTTAACTGTGTATAGATTCATATGGGACAATGTATGCAGTTGCCAGTAAGAAAAGACAACTAAGAAAGGATTTCATTTCTTTACAGTTTAACATCTAGGCTCTTGCTCTCTGTCTTCTTTTTAAATAGGAAAAAAAATTGCTATGCATTCTAACAGGCAAGCGTTTGCCCTCCTACACAATGGCCAAAACCAAAGATCGACTTAATTGAAATTAGAATATGGAAAGGATGATGTCAAATTGACAGCATTAGACTAGATATTGAATTAATCTCTTTCCTTCTTCATTACCCCCTTAAGATTTATGTTAGATTACCCTTTACTGTTCATTGTATAACTTCTTCTTTTTTCGTTCTTCTTATTCTGTGCTCTTTATCCTCATTTCATGAACTACAAACGCATGACTGTAGGGCTTAAAGATTACATATTGAAACACCCTTTTAACCTGGTTTGTATCTGCAAGAAGTAGAATTGCATCTAGCTTTGGTTTGTTTCACCTGGATCAATATTATTTTCCAACAGAAGAAGCTTTTGCTAAATAGTTGTTCAATAAATGGAAAAGAAATCTGGTTTCTTATATTTATATGTTGTCATTTTTGTATTATCATATAGCTTCCTTATATCTTCACGACTTCACAGTTTGAATGTTCTCATTATTTTCCTCTCTAACTCAAGGGTTGTAATATATAAATTTATATTAAACTAGATGTAGTAGTCAGCTCTCTTTTTCAGGATTTAAATTTCTTCTTAGTTCGATACCAATTAATATGCCTATTTCTCTTTGCCTTATACCCATTAATGTTCCGTAACAAAACCACTATTGTTATATGTTTGGTGGCCACTGTAACTGATTAGACTACAATCTTATTTCAGTTGAGGGATACAAATTAATGGTTGATGTTAACTATGCCTGGATGTATAAATGGATCTTTGATTGGTTTTATCTGAGAAATCAAATCCAGTTAAATGTTTCAGGATGATTTTGTGGTTTCTTCCTTGCCAAACATAAATTGAGGATTGTAAATCATGTTGTTTACAATGTTTCTGGAATTTCTAAAACATTAATTTTTTTTTGTTTATGTTTGTCAAGATAATATTACTATTGGTATGATAAATGTCTAGTTAGTTATGTGACTTGCATATAAATTATCAGAAAATATTTTGTGTCTTGACTAAAATTTGAAGCTGTGACCTAGTTGCCATGTTATGCTCTCACCTGGGCTTTGGTCTTGGCGATCAATGTAATGGTTACATATGTTTATTGTTACGTTTAAAATACCCTAGTTAAGTTACTATTTGATTGTTTTTTTAATTTTCAATGGATGCAGAGCTAGATGTATTGATTAGTCTATCCATTTCAAGTGACTACTATGAAGGACCAACGTGTCGACCAGTTATCAAAGAAATATGCCATTCAAGTGCCAACACTCCTTATATTTCTGCGAAAAATCTGGGGCATCCTGTTCTCAGAAGTGATGCATTAGGAAGAGGTTCTTTTGTTCCCAATGATGTAAATATTGGTGGAGCTGGACATGGAACATTCATCCTTCTTACAGGTCCAAACATGGGTGGTAAATCAACTCTTCTTCGTCAGGTTTGCATGACTGTGATTTTAGCGCAGGTAGGAAAGGAAATTCATATTTCGGTTATTTGTGCATTAATATCATTCATTTCTTCACTTCAGTTCTACTTTCACAGCTAGGAGCAGATGTTCCTGCAGAAAGCTTTGAGTTAACGCCTGTTGACCGTATCTTTGTTCGGATGGGAGCGAAGGATCATATTATGGCTGGTCAAAGTACATTCGTGATGGAACTCTCGGAGACTGCATCAATGCTGGTGAGAGCTTCCTTGAAAGTATTCAAGGAAATTTCTTGTCGATGATTATTTTGGCTCCTGTGTCATACGTTAGCATCTATATTCACAATCAGTTACTTTGCTTCGTTTCTTAGTATCACTATGAGTTGTCTATTTTCATGTAGTCTTCTGCTACCCAAAATTCTCTAGTAGCACTAGATGAACTTGGACGAGGCACATCAACGTCTGATGGACAAGCTATTGCGTAAGTATATCAATCTAAAAATATTATCTACCCAGGGGGTTTTATATGTCTTCTATCTTTTAAATTTTGGTGATGTGAAATTTTCAGCTGCTTAACTTAGTATATGTGTGATTCGCAGAGGATCTGTCTTAGAGCATTTGGTGCACAAAATACATTGCCGAGGGTTGTTTTCAACTCACTATCATCGACTAGCAGTAGAATATGAGAATGACAAAGAGGTTTAAAATTTATTTGTTAGATACTTATTCATTCACTATAGAAACTTTTGACCTTTCTTTATATGCATCTCAGGTATCATTGTTTCATATGGCTTGCCAAGTTGAGAAGGGGAACGGAGGCATTGAAGAAGTTACTTTCCTTTATAGATTGACTCCTGGTTCCTGTCCTAAAAGCTATGGTGTCAATGTTGCTCGGTTGGCAGGTATCCTTGCCTCTGTCCTCCATTTCAAATAGGCCTCTCAATGCTATTACTGTAGTTAGCAATTTGATTAACTCCTGATTAACTCCATTCAAAATCTTAAAATTTTCTCTTATGCCATTATCGCAATTCTCCATTACATTGGTCATAGCCAGATTTAGTTGCGTTGGGATGGAATTAAGTATAAAACTATTCTTGTATATTTCATATTTCACCATAAGTTCTCATTTATATTTTTGCCCTTATACCCTCCTCCCAACTGCACACTATGTATCTAGTGCCTTAAAAAAAGAAAAGAAAGAAAGAAACTCTCAATACGTGCGCTCATAACTCGATTATATCCCATGAGCTTTAGTTGTGTCCTTGTACCCTAGCTTTTATGATTTTGCCGTGCCCCATACCATACCAACACCCACACCCATGCCCGTCCAGCTTAGAAGAAAACAATATTTATAATAAATTGATAGTATATAGTGAATAGGTCAAAGGATAATTGGATGAAACATGACTTTGCGCTCTGTAAACATTAGCTGTTTCATTTGCCTTTACATCATTAGTTGGCCCTATCATGATCACAAAATTTGTGAATTAATAGCTACAGTGTTAAGTGTGTTAATCTTAGCCTATCTTATTTAATTTATTGTGTTAATTGTGGATAGACCCCTTATAGTTCTATTTATGCGAATGCCCCCCTTAGTATTGACCCTAGTGCGAACGCACGTGCGAATACACCCTCCTTAGTGAACTTTTTTAACTTTTTAAAATTTGAATAGAAAAGAAAAATGGTAATTGGATCCTTACCAATAGAAATATGGGGGGGAGCCTATCCGCCTTCTCAAAACCTCTTTAACGATTTTAAGTGAAAAAAGTTTACTGTGGGGTTCTACTCGCCACAAATAGAACTATAAGGGGTCTATTCACAATTAACCCTAATTTATTTGTTCTATTGTAATTAATTATTATCATTCCTGATCTAGGAATACCGTCTTCAGTTCTTGAAACTGCCACAAGAAAGTCCACTGAGTTTGAGATTAATTACGGGAAAGGAAAGAAAGAATCTCGAAGAGACTTTTCTGCCGCCATTAAGGATGAGGAAATAGCTGTCATCAAAGATTTTTTAGCCGCTGCCAAGAATTTGGATCAAGATGACAATACTCAGGCATTAAACATGCGTTTGCTTGAAGAAATTCATCAGAGGGCTCGATTGCTCGTTGGAAAGCGAAGAAGCCTCTTGCGCCTTTTTTGAACTTAGCTGAGGGCCGAAGTTTGGGTTAACACATCGTCCTTCCTCAGTGATATCAATTTTTGCAATTTGGACTTGTGGAGTCACGTACTATTGAATGAATACTTCAAGGCATATACTCTAGTTTTATATATTATTATCATGGGTAAAGATTAGTGCCGCAGGTTTTTCATTGCACGAAAAACATCTTTAATTTACACAGAAAATGTATTTATAGGCCTTGACGTAATTAGACAGAATAGATGAATGTTTAGTTTTCATAGAGAAATCCCAAGTTTTTGTAAATGTGCAGCTAACCGATGGGTTGATGACATGTATTCCGTAAAGGTTCAATATAACAACAAATGAGTTGGTATCTGATATTGTTAGGTGGCAGTAATTTTTTTCATATTATTATTATTATTATTTTGATATGAAAACGTGTACGTAATATCATCTGAACCTACTTGAGAAAGAATACCCTTACGCCTCGTTTGGTACGCGGGAATGGACTCAAATGAGAATGGAATGAAAGAAGGAATGGAATGGAATTAATGTGAGAATGGAATAGTCATTCTCATTCTCACGTTTGGGTATAAGTTATAAAATAAAGTGGGAATTGACGTATTTTAAATTTGTATATTTTATTGATTCTCATTTAAGTGGGAATGCGCATTCCCTATCATTTCATTGGGAATACACATTCCCACGTAAAGTGAGAATTGATGAGAAGTGGGAATGTGCATTCCAACTTTAAAAAAGAGGGTGTGTTTGGTAAAAAGGAATGAGAAGTGAGAATGACCATTTCATTCCACCTCATTCCCACGTACCAAACGAGGCCTTACTGCTTTACTATGAGCCAATAGAAACATAACTTTTAACCGTTTTATTTAGTTGACCGGGATCTTTCTTTCTAAACACTAATGCACAAACCAATATACTTTCTAATTGCAAAAACAGATAAAGACATTGAAGAACGGCAAAGAGTGAAAATAAATTCATGTTACCAGCAACTTGTTCGAAATTGTTGTAAACTGTAGAAAAAGAAATCCAAAGAGCAAGAAATAACGGAAGAAATAGTCTGCCTGTGTGTGGTCATGTAAACACTCTCTTAGACATATAGATGCTCGTCTTCGCGTAGCCTTCTAATGGTGATTCGTATTCTAGCGGTAAAACCGGTTGGAATACTAGCACCAGAGATGCAATGGCTCCTTGAGCCTCTACTCAGATTATGTTGCCCGGAAAATAAAACAAAGAAAGATTGTAAATTATATCTCGAGACTTGAAACTTTGAGGAAGATGATGAAGAAGAGATGTTTTCTGTTCTTTGCTGCTTTCAGAAATATTATATATATATATATATATAGATATATATATTATATATATATATATATTATTATATATATATATATAATATATATAGGAATATGGGTATGCTTGGTCCAAGGACAAATTTTTTGTGCTTTGGTAGTGAGGTGGCACAATCCCCTCATCTTCGAATGGGGGACCACATTCACATGAGCTTAAGGAATGCATGGGGATATTGCAATCATGTTAAATGGTGGAGTGGCTGTGGGATGCCACCTCACTACTTAAGCATAACTTTTTTGTGCTTGGTACAAGCATACCCATTTTTCTCATATATATATATATATTATATATATATTTATATATATACTATATATAATATATATACTATATATATATGATAGTAGATGAGAGAAGAGAGAGAGAGAAATGTATGCTTGGTAATGCAGGTGTCTCTTTCCCATCACTCATTCAATTAGGGGGACCACATTCAAACTCATGTGAATATGGTCTCCCATCTTAAATGCATGGAGGATAATTATGCCACCTCACTACCAAGTACAATTTTTTTGTGCTTGCGTACCAAGTACCACATTTCTATAATTATAATATATATATATATTATATTATATATATATATATATATATATAGTATTATAATATATATATATATATATATATATATATATAGAGGAGAGAGAGAGAGAGGAGAGAGAGGAGAGGGGGCGGGAGAGAGAGAAATATAGGTTATGGTTGGTACCAGATAAAAGTTGTGCTCGGTAAGTGAGGTGGCAAATCCCCTCCACTCATTCTTAAATGTGGTGAACAAATTCACGATGGTAGTGAAGGATGGTGATATGACACATCACTACCAAGCATACACATTTCGCTGTATATATATATATAATATATATATATATATATATAGTATAATATATACTTATTATATATATATAATATATAGAGAGAGAGAGAGAGATTGAGAGGAATAATGGAGGCTGAGCTGGAGCACCTCTCATCGGTGAGCCTGCAAGTGTATGACATGTGAACCCACTACCGATGTGACTAGAGGCGGACCACATGTTTCATACACTTGCAGCTCACGGTTATATATATACACACACAGTGCATTCCACCTGCGGAATGATGCGTACGCTTTAGGAGATAAGGATTTCTTAACGAAGTGAGAGGAGAAGAGATTTCTACACAATAAATGGGCGGAGATTGCAGAGAGAGTGATGCGAGGATTTTTGCAAAAACACCTTATTCCTCCTAAAATTGCGTACGCATCATTCCCTAGGGAAATGCCAATTATTATATATATATTTATATATATATAGTATATATATATATATAATATATATATATATTCTATTTCTCTCTACGCATAATGTGCTAGCCCATCCACCCAGATCCTTGTCGCAGCTTGGGGTTTTTTTTGCCACAAAACCATCCGCTTCACGAATTTAACCCGCCTCTCCAATTCCCCCCCACCCCCTCGAAAGAAAGCCCCCTAAATTTGTGGGCCCGTGATGACCCCGAAAATCTGGGATCGTCGCATCATTCGATCCTCTCTCTCGACTCCCCCAACTCCGACAGACTTCCCAAAAATCGCCTCCAACGACATCCCCATCTCCGCTGACCGCTCTCGTCTCCCTCTCGAGGCTCTTCTCGAGATCCCCCAACTCCCACCGTTAATCGCCGTCCGCCTCCAATGCTCAGCAGCGCTGCTACCACGGCCATGCCCGCCACCCGCGAACACCCAGCTTCTGCAACCACCTGACTTTAAGAGAGAGGTAAGATCCTCCATCAACTTTAAAGAAGAACAAGAGAAAATTCTTTGGTCAAAAATTCGAACAAGGTAATCAACAAAGAAAGATAAGTAAGTAGGTAACTCAGGACCTGTGGTATGGTTACAGAAAATAATTGGGGTTTTAAGAGGCCCCCAGATTCATTAATGTCCAGCATTTGACGTTCTTCTCTTTGAATCACCTGTGTACAATATGATGTTCCGTCGACATCAACCTCGAGACCTAGAATGGAACCCTGTTAGCCAAACAATACATAAATCAATGTCATTTGTAGTTCTTATGATTTTTTCTTAATATCACTACTTAACATTCCTAAAGAAGAAAAGAAAATTCACTTCCTCATAACTATTAAACTTGACAAAACAACCTAATACAACAAAGATTTGTTTGAAATCATAAGCAATTAAAACCAATGACATTGATTTATGTTAAGTGCAAATTACACAAGAACCAGCTTTGCTTTGAATTAAAGAGCTTCCCCCCCCCCCCCCTCTTTTTATATTATTGCTTGTTCCTTTATTATTTGCTTCTTTGTTCTTGTCTGTGGGTCTTTTGTAAGATCTAATCATACACATAACCTCTACAAACCCTTTACCAATTATGACCCAAAACAAAAACTTTAACCACAAATAAACCTCAAATCTCTCATTTCTCCTATAATCAGCAGTCTTTAGATTAAAAAAACTATTTCTCAACAACAAATTATGTCAAGTATAGAAAGAACCACCTTAGTCTACCTCTCTCTTTTTGTATTTGTTCATCTTTGATTTTTTTAAGAACCACCTTAGTCTACCTCTCTCTTTTTCTATTTGTTCATCTTTGATTAATTGGTGTGCATAGATGAATTTGGATTGATGACCAACATAATGCAAAGGTCGCCTAGAGCTCTTCTGTATAGAAGAGCAATTGCAGCTACTACATTAGAGAAGAAAGGGAGCCCGACTAGCAAATGTCTCCTTATTTTTGCATTTTATTTATGATTCGTAAGTTTTATGGTTGTGTTGTGCCTGAATTTTTGAGTAACTTATGTGATTGGTATGAACCTTGAGTTTTGGGAGTAGATTATGTACGTAATTTGAATTCCGTTGGGTTTTTGTATGGACTAAAGAAAAAAAACATGTCCTTGTGACGTTACCAACTAGTATGTTGAACTCCTAATGCTCTTATGTTGCCATTTTTCTAATTTTTTTTAATTGTGTATGATGTTTCTTGTTATGTAAATTGGATGGAGAAATATATGTGTATATTTAATTACCTACTTTGTTGACGTTGCATTTAAGTATGTTGTTCTATGAATGAATAGGCTTGTGCAACGTTGCATTCAAGTATGTTGTTCTATGAATGAATAGACTTGTGCCTGAGTGGATTATGTGTATTGAGTACTATCCAGGCCTTCACTTTGGCTCCTCCTCATCTTGTGACACTTTCTTCTATACTAATGACAGCAAAAATTGCAGGTGGGTTGATTCTATGTTGGGTAACCAGATACAGAACAACTATTATTTGTTGCGAAAAGATCTTAACAGTGATATTTGATCTGAAAAAAAGATACACACTCATGCTAGTTGGTGCTTGAGCTCTCTAATGAATTTAAATCAAAAGATGTTACTGTTGATGCATGACTAGCCATACAATCTTAGTTCATACAACATGAGAGCAAACCATACACTCTCCAGCTGTCTTAGCCATACAATCTTAGTTCATACAAAATAATTTAAATGAAACCATACAATCTTAGTTCATACAACATGAGAATGCGAAAACCATACACTCTCCATCAGTCTACAAATCTAAACAACCACACCATCAAAATCTAAGTCTTACATCAAAACATAATAAGTTGACACTGTGTAGCAGTTGTAAACATCACAAAATATTACATAATTGTCTTTTCCTAGATATATTACATAAATCATCACATAAGACCACTGCTCAATATTACATAAATGATCATATAAAACCAATGCTCAACAAAATCCTCACATAAATGCAGCATGCACATGCCTTCTTGTCTTTTTTATTGCTCTTCTTCTCCACAACTTGGCCTAGCTGAAAATTTTATGACAAACATATTCACCAAATTAGTGCTATGAAGTTATACTAAGTTTCTTCCTGTGTATTAAACTTCATTCCTAGTAGTGGTTTAGGAACATTTTCAGTATTGGCCGTAATTTTACTTCCAATAGCACTTGATTCTCTCATTCCGGACTCTACACTAGTTGAATTTATTTCCTCAATTCCGAACTCTCCCATTCACATGCT